TCAGTGAGCACTAGAGCAGGCCTGGAAAGATCAGGCCAGTCTTTTTGTTCAGCAGAAGGCAGGGGAATTCATGCTGTTTACTCCAACCAAGCAGGAGACAGAGTTAGGGCTCAATGCACAGCGAGGTCTACAATTCCCAGCTCTGTTTCAAGCTCTAAGGAGGTTTGCTCCTGCAGGGCAAAAACAGCTTTTTCCCCTTAGGCCTCAACAGTTAAAATGCCTTTTAGTTTGCACTTAGGGCTAAGCTCCACAGTGACGTACGTGGTGTCTTAAGTTACAGTTTAGCAAGGCAGTGCAAGTGTAAGTTACATACCACCAGAGTGTCTGGCAGGGTGTAGCAGAAAAGAAAGCTGAAAGGATAGGGTAAAAGTTATAGCATGTGTAAAGAACGGCCTTCTTTACCTTTCACCTTCCTCTTGGACCTCATCAACATTTGGGAATTCAGTAATTTGTGGAGCTCAACCAGCAGTGACTTGTAAACATAGACAAGGGCATGCCAAGGTTTCCATGAACGGAGTAAACAAGTCTTCCCTTTGCACAGTTAGCCAAAGTGGTGCATATACTAGGTTGCACTTAACTGCATTTTTGAGTCAGCATTGGCTTGGCCTGCTTCTGCTCAACTCAGTCAACTTCCAAGTGTAAAGGAAACCGCTATTTGCTTTTTCCAGCTCCAACCCTCTTCTGTACTTTTGGCATGTACGTTACACCAATTTCCGTGCACTTGCCAAAGGTTAATTTCCATCATCTACAAATCTGGCTCCTGAGTTGTATTTGCTCATGTTTTTCCATTTTCCTTTACTTTCATCTATCTTTTCTTTATTTCAAGGACAAAATATTCAATAGAAAAAATAACAACATGAAAACACTTGCATCTCTACAACAGGAAATTTCAGGAACGTGGGCACTGATATCAGAGAATCATAGAAAAATAGGGCTAAAAAGGAGGTAAAAGTCATCTAGTCCTCCTTGCTCAAGGCAAGATCATCCCTTATACTGTATAAAAATCATACAAACAAAACTGAAAATATTCCACTCACCCCCACCTAGAAACCAATCAGTTTAACTGTGGAAAAATGTGCATTTTTTCCTTTTTCAATAAAATATTTGCTAGTATGGGTCCATTGATTTCAATAGAGCTCTAATAATTTAGAATCTACATGGAATGGGACAAATGAGATTTTTAATTCTCAACAGAATTTTCCCAGTGGAATTAAGGACCCAAATCCATACTGTGTTGAAATTATCCATTTATCATTGATTCTAAACACGATGCTCTTTGTCCAAGGCTACTGCTGCTCAGCCTGTCAACACACCCACTCTTCTAACATCTGAGCTCTAACTACTCTGTGTTTATTTTATAAACAACATTTCAGACCAAATTTAAAGGTGAAACTAAACACTAGGTTCACTTGACTTTTTCTGTCTTTGAGGCTTATTAGTACTGTATACCTGAACTGACCCCACAGCCAGTTTGTGGTACGGCAGTTGCAACACAGCAGTGCCAAATTATAGCATGCTTCAGCATCCCATAACATTAAACACTTCAATGTCCTAGCAAACATTAATATGTTTAAGCAGGCTCTTTCCCATCTTCTTTGGCAGCTATCACCCCCACCCCCCAACTTAATATATGTGTTTTTAACTGTCTGTCCTCCATGACAGAACATCCAACTCTTACAGAAAGAAGGCCAAATTGTGCTCTGTGACACTTGCTCACAGCCAGAATTTGGCTCAGGATTCATAGATTCATAGATTGCAGGCCGAGAAGGAACCATCCACCACCACTCTCTGGGTGCGGTCCCTAAGCCAGTTGGCCACCCACCTGACCGTGTAGGCATCTACTCCGCAGCCTGCTAGCTTCCCAATGAGGATAGGGTATGAAACTGTGTCGAAGGCCTTCCTAAGCCCAGGAAGATGACATCAGCCTTGGCTCCTGCATCCAGGCGGTGTGTGACCTGGTCATAGAAGGCTACAAGGTTTGTCAGGCAGGATCTACCTGTGACAAACCCGTGCTGGTTTCCCCTCAGCATCGTTTCCCCTGCTGGGCCTGCACAAATGTGTTCATTGATTATTTTCTCTAGCCACTCGGCAAATCCCTACTATGAAGACAGTCACTAGACATTGCCCTCCATATTTGAAGGCCGGCCTCCCAGCTGTACCTGTCTTGTTGGTGCATCCAAATTCACCTGCAGCACTGAATAAAACTATCTAGGAAGAAGGGTTCCTCAGAGGGTAGGAAGTCTCTGAAATATGAAGAACTCTTCTATTTTTTTACTTGAAACCGCCAGTCCCCATGATCTATCTGTAGTCTGCCTCAAAGCAATCTCTTGGCACTTCTTTTGGTGCATAAGTGGCTATCACACCTGGCCACGTGCTATTATTCTTCCCAGCTACGTCCAATATTTGAGCTCATCCACAGATGTGACCAGGCCCCAAGCACAGAATTCCAAGGGCCCCTGGCAGCCAGAACCCGCACTCATTGACTTTCCTTAGCAAGAACTCCATCAGCCACAGAGAAGGACAAACTATTGTGCTTGTAAGTGCCAAGCACTGTATAAGCCAGGGGCAGGCAATTATTTTGGGCAGAGGGCCACTTACTGAGTTTTGGCAACCATTGAGGGCCGCATGACAGGCAGCCCAAGGCAGATTAATATTAATTTTCTAAATTTTTTAGGGGCCGCGCAGGCTGGATAGAATGGCTTGGCGGGCCGCATCCGGCCTGCGGGCCGCATTTTGCCCACCCCTAGTATAAGCAGTCACGTCCTTTTCCTTCCCATTTATTCCATGGTTCAGAATGGCCAGAAAGGCCTACAGTATTGAGAAGGAATTCCCCCAAACACCCTATGACCTATGGGTTCTTGAATGTAGAAATCTTGCTATTGTTCTGTGCTGTGCAGGAATATTGACCCCTTTCCCATCTGTGGTTTCCATTCTCTCTGCCCTCAATAGCCCTGTATTTCTGTGACTTTCCAGGTGGCTGAGGATGCCTTGGTGTGTATACCAGTAAAGCTCTTTTTAGCTCCATACCAGGCACCAGCTGGAGGGCTTGCTCCCTCTCTGGCAGGATTGAGCACCCGGTTATATTTTGGGACCAAGGTGTCCAAAGAAGAGATGACAGAATGTGCTGGCAGGTTGGACTGGAGATGTCAAAGGGGGCAAAGGGAGTTGGGTGCCCTGATCCCATGGAAGTCCGTGCAGTTAGGCACTTACATTCCAAAGGCTCCTTTGAAAATCCCACCCAGAAAGCAGAAGTCACTATCCAATCCATGCTGAAGTGCAGATCCTGAAAAGAACTTAGGTGCCTACATCTCATTGGTTTTGACACTGAATTGGGTGCCTAAATACCTTTAAGGATCTGAGCCTAGGAAATAAATGACTGAGAGCCCACTAAAAATAGGGATTTGTTAAAATTGTCTACAGGACCAGAGAGCAGCAAATATTGGATGCACCTTTAAAAATGCTTGGGATGATCCTAGGAAATAATGGGCGTGTCTACATATGTCTGGGACTGCACATTTGGTACTGCACATTTGGTACTTTAGCAAGTACTAAATGACTGCGTAGTACCCACTGGGACTGCGCAGTCCTGGTGACGCACAGTTATTTTTAGATGCTACGTAGCGTTGGTATCACAGTTTGTGCCCACCAATGCTACATCGCTGTAGTGATGAGTTATGTTGCTATAGCTCATTGCTATGGCAATGTAGTGTCTTGTGAAGATGTGCCCACAGAGCATTTAAGCTGACAAATCAGCCTGGATAAATCAACTTGGACAAATCAGCCTGGCTTCTATAAAAGAACAGCATGTTGGAATTCTTTGAGGGAGTCAGCCAGTGGATAAAGCAGGACAAGATGTTATAATTTATCATGGGCTATGTTAATTTTCAAGTTATATCCACTGTGAGAAGCCCTAGTAGTCATGGGGGAAGAGGGAAAGTTCTGTCATGGATTAGAAACTGGCTGAAGAACAAAAAACAAAGTGGAGGAATAAAGAGTCAATTTTCCATCATTTAAAGAAGATCCATATGGGCCATCCCATACATCTATAATAAAACTGTCATTACTAGTGATCTGAAGAGGAGGTGAGCAGTGAGGCTGCAAAAATTGCAATTGACCAAAACATCTAGGCTAATCAGAACCAGAAAAGATTTGGGGGGGTACATGCAGAGGGACCTAACAATGCCTGGCAATCAGGGAACAGGGCAGAAAATGGAAATCAGTGCTACAAGATAAACATGAGGATGTACACTTGAAGGTACAGACTACTTGGTTCCCAATTAACTGTCAACTCTCGGGAAAAAGGCAAAAATGTCACCATGGACAGGTGGGTACAAACACCAGATGAATGTGCATAAGAAGCCAAATAAAACAAATTACAAGCCTGATTCTCAATTACTATGTTGCACCATTTGGCAAATAAAGGGTCTTTAAATCAGTGTATATACGTCATTTAGATGCAGTTTAAGGTTCTTTCATATTACAAGAGCAATGTAAAATGGTTCTAGTATAAATAATAATCTGGACAAAGGTGTGGTTGCCTTTTGGCATGCTTATTATTAATTAATATCAAATAATGAATGATAGTTGCATGAATTTTCCTGTTAGTAGAAAAGAGATACTGGGCTTAGTGTCATACTACGATTTGGCATGTATATGTGGCAGTGCCTTGCACCTAAGAATCTCCATGCATTTCATTTTACAGAGAGGGAAACAGATAAAGGGAGTATAAAATGATTTTCCCAAGACTAAACAGTGATTGTGTTGAAAAGGTCAATAGAAAACTCCGTGTTCCTAGTACCCAGTCCTCTGCTGTAATCCATAGGTAACAATACCTCCTTCACATCTATAAACAAAATAGTATAAAGTTTGCTCTTGTAGGATATGAAAGTGAATCCTTGAATTTTAACATTAGGCAAATATGATAATTGTTTCTCTTTTATAATGGAGCCTCTTGTTCAAGCAAAAACTACTTGGCATGGAATTGATCACATTTTACTTACCGTTGTGAAATGAACTACACAAAAGATTCCAATGATCACAAGGCCAATGATAATTGATGCAACAGCAACCCAGAGTGCATTGCGACCTAGTCTTTTTGATCCATCTATGTCTCCTTGATTATAACTATTTAAAGCCTGCAGAACAGAAACAGAGAGTTTGTGACTATTGGTAAACAAAAATATACCCCATTTCAATTGGTTTCACCAGTAATTTAATTCCTTGCAATTTTGCAACACACAAAAGACTCCAGAAAACAGAGCTTTACTTTATAAATATATACTTATAGTAAGGGTTAAGTTACTAAGGAGTATGATTTTCAACTTCTATGTTAACTTATTTTCAGGACTCACTCTTTGCTACTTTAGGTCATGATTCTACAAATGTTTCTCATGCTGCTTATACAAGTAGTTCTACTATAGTTATCAACAGGAAGAGTGTCAATTCAACTCTAATCACACTCATTGCTGTGAGCTAGTGACTTACATCTTCCTAGAATTTTTTTCTTTTGCAGTTTTATGTCAATTTTGATTTCATTCAGTGGAGCAGAAATTGAATTGCTTCATTAGCAACAAAATAAATACAAAAGCTAAAGAAAACCAACCCCTCTCATTTATTGTTTGCATCCTCATTCCCACACTGTGTGCAACCATACGCACATGCATGCACATAGTGACAATGCGTAGGGGGTGCACAAGGGTGCATGTGCACCCCCTGAGAGCGCTGATGCATCCCCTGACAGGCCACACTCCCTGCATAGGTGACGGGCAGACGGGAGCTTTGCCAGCTGTGGCATCACATTGGTAGCTCATGTTCATCTTGTGGTCAATCATGACCCCCAAATCTCTTTTGGTTGTGATGCTAGTGAGTGTAACACTGCCAAGTCTATAAATATGATGTGGGTTTTTTCTTCCAAGGTGGAACATCTTGCACTTCTCTATGTTGAATGTCATCATGTTTTGATCTGCCCACCTTGTGAGCCTGTTCAGGTTGGCCTGAATTGTCAGCCTATCCTCTAGAGTGACTGCACTTCCCCATAATTTGGTGTTGTCTGCAAACTTAGCCAGTCTGCTTTTGATACCCAAATCCAGATAATTTATTAATATATTAAAGAGTATTGATCCAAGTACTGAGCCCTCGGGGATGCCACTGGTCAACATGCGCCATGTTGACTCGGTTCCATTGACTATCGCTTTTTGGGTCCGACCACAGAGCCACTTCTCTAGCCATGAGACTGTAAGGTTGTCAATGCCGCAGTTCCCCAATTTTACCATGAGGACATCATGGGAGACCAAGTCAAAGGCTTTTTTGAAATCTAAATATATGGCATCAAACTCTTTTCCTTTGTCCAGGTGATGCATTGCCTGGTCATAGAAGGAAATGAGGTTGGTCAGGCAAGACCTACCCACAACAAAGCCATGTTTGCTATCTCTCAGAATGCTGCCTTCTGTTAGCCTGTTGCTGATGGTTTCTTTGATGATTTTTTCTAAGATCTTTCCAGGGACTGAGGTCAAACTGATTGGCCTGTAGTTCCCTGGGTCTTCCTTCCTTCCTTTCCTGAAGAGAGGCACCACATTAGCCCTCTTCCAATCTTCAGGAACCTCTCTCAAGCGCCACAAGTTCTGAAATAGCCTCGCCATTGGTCATGTTATGATGTCACCCATCTCTTTTAGCACTCTTGGGTGCATTCCATCCAGGCCAGCTGAGTTGTGGGTATCCAGCCTCTCAAGCTATTCTCTCACCAGGTCTTTGCCAATTATAGGCATATGATCGCCCTTACCCTGGTAGTCCTGCATCCTGTCAGGCCGGGTGATCCCCTTCACAAAGCAACTTACCTTATAAAAGACACAAAGCAACTTACCCTATAAAAGCCAAGAACAGAAAACCAGGAGCATGAAGAATATATGTGCTGTAAGTAAGCATATGAGCAAGCGAGATGAATGTCACTGCGAGGTCTGTAAATGGACCTAGTTCATTTCCCATTTTTTTCCAGTGTTTATTTTTCAAAACCAAATTTTGAAGACTTGATTATTAGTTCCTTGTTAATGAAAAAAAACACAGTAAAGACACTTACTGTATGAACGATCACTGGGCAAGGACTTTGCCTGTTTAGATTTTTCTAAAGCATTTTATATTATTAATTATCATTATAATATAAATGTGTAGGTGTGCAGCATACACAGTGTTCTGAGAACAGCACCCTAAAATTAATCTGGCATTTGTATGAGTGAATATCTTCAAGTATATGCTTATATAACTATATATAGCAAATATTCTATAGTAAATGTCATAAACTATAAGGCCAGAAGGGGCCATTGTGAACACCTAAGTCTGAGCCATCTCTAGAAAATAGTCCATAGGCATTCCCTGAGTTAAATCTTCTTTGTACTAGATTGCATCTTTTACAAGCACTCTGATATGGACAACCTATATATTCTGATTTATATGAGGCAAATGGCATTTGGTAACTATTCTTAAAATTCATCCATTGGAAGGATTAGTTTGAAAATTTAGGGGAGCATGATGGCATGGAAACAGGTCCAGATTTCTTTGTCAGATCACAAAATGGGATTACCTGCTGTATTTCCTGGAGCAACCAAATTAGTCACAACTTGATTTTTTATTATTTACTGACATTCAAGACATATGCAGCATGCAGGGCTTACATGCTATGGACAGCAGGAAGAAAATTAACACAGGTGATAATAACATATACAGTTGAGTTTAAAGGCCCAGTTTTGCCCTTTTTTTGTGCTAAAAGTCCAATTCTATTCTCTCTACAGAGTAAAACAGTCAACAAAAGTGCTCCATTCTCTTTTGTTTTTTGTGGCCAGCAGCCAATATTTTTCACTTAATTTGAGGTTTTCCTAGCAAATTGTCCTAAAGAAACCAGTGTGACAAAGGAAATAAAGCAGTTGTTCTTTACAGTTTGAAAATTCTTTCAATGCTCTATGCTATGTCCTATTTACAAAATGCCTCATTTGGGAGACTTCAGATGAAAATTTATTTGAAAGACCTTAGTACGGTCTAGTGCATAGGCCCAAAATGGAGATACTGAAAAGTATATTAAAGGAGAGATTCATTGCTGAATGAGGTACTGTGAAATCCAGTGAGTTTCCTAATGACTACTGCCACCCATGATGACCCTTATGAAATCTGATGGGGTGATTTACAGAGTTTTCCTGGCTCAGCTACGGTGCCTTAAACATATTTTGCCACAACAGCAAGTCTTTATACATACATCTCTCATACTAAGTCTGATAGCATAGCACCATGCTAACCTCTGCTGGTTTAAGTGAGTGCTTTAATTCCATGGTCTAGCCTGAAGAAACACAAGTCTGTGTCTAATGATACCTAGGTTATTGTTGTGACCTATGAAATTTAGGACCTGTCCAGTAAAGACAGTAGAAACACGAGAAATGATTACACTGGCATCAGTGAGCTTTGGATCAGGCTCTCAAGGAAGAGCACGGAATGATGGTCTTTAGCATCCTATCTACAGAACTGGGAATCTGTAAAGCACCAGTACACCTGGTATATCTGTTTCTGTGGACTGTACATACTAATAAAGAAAGCTGTAATTGCTGTAACCACAAGACAAATACATCTTTGTGGCCACTGATAATAAGGATGGATAAGACATCTCAGAGTTTTGGGGAGGGGGGTTCTCAAGATGCTGCTAGTGGTCCCAGTTAAGGCTAGTAGAAGGCTACTCCTGTGTACTTACCTACTTTCAAACATTTGTGTTTAACTGTAACTTTGAATTTCACATTCTTCTAATGCTTATTTTTGATAATACTTTTACCCTTGATTTACTGATACAAACTCTTAACCTGCAGACTTATTTGTAAATACATTTATGTGGCACAGTATCAAAAAAGTATTTCAGTTAATATAAATCATATACTTTTGATAGGTAGCTTTCCTGCTGTTACATACCAAGGCTATGCAGACCATGAAAGTGCATTTGAAACTGAGAGGACACCAAATATTACTGCATAGCTTTTGTTCCCTAAAGACCTGATTCTTAATCTTAGATCTGTTTATTAGCAGTCAGCATCAGAGGAAGACCAACAGACTGTAATAAGGGGTATCATTTGCCAGACACTGTATATGTTCTGTTTATTAAGGAACATCCAGGGTTTCATGGGGCAAATCCATCCCTGGTATAACTTTCTTGAGCTCAATGAAATTAAGTTAAGGAGAATAAATAAATTTCTGTAACTTCCTGACTTAAATTGTGGCTGGTGATTTGTTTCTGAGCAAGGGCTAGTGCAAGCAGAAGGAATAAAGCTGAGCAGGAATCGGATTTTCCATTTAGTGGGAGATCCTGTGAGTTCAATTTCTCCCTATCCTCCCGTTCTGGAATGAAAACAAAACACGTCAACATTTTCTTCAGAACAAAATTCCTGCCCCAGGTTTGTTAGGGGTCAGGAAGAAAATTTCATTAGGATTTTGCCTTTAGTTTTGGACAAGTCAAAAGTGAAAAATCATGTTTGTAATGAAAAGTCAAAATGCTTTATTCTGAAAATGTTAAAGCAGGACACTTTAACTTGAACTGCTTTATGACTTTCTTTTAATTTTTTTCCCCTTAAACTTAACTGACATCCATGTGTTCCTGTGAACTATATTGGTTTTCACAGATGGGAATTTCCTGAAAGAAAAATAGCTTGCTGCAAAATTCCCAACCTAATCTTGTAAAGGAGCTTCTCTTCTTATAGTCCTGAAAGGCAACAGGGCTTCCTGAAAAGTATGTTTCCAGGGATGAATTGCATATTTTGTTTAAGAAAACAAACACCTCTGGTGGCCAAAGCCAAGAGCAGATCAATCTTATTTACTTATTTATTTATTGAATTCAATTTAGTTACCGTAACAGCAGTCCCCTGTATGTTCCCCTGTACAAGGCTGTAGGCACCCCAGAACACAGTCAGCTATATCCCTCTTTTTTAGTCATTTTGTTATTTCTGAATATACTTTTTAACTGGAGGTAACACA